TCTCTTTTCCTTTTTTTTTTTTTTTTTTTTTTTGTTTTTTGTTTTTTTTTTTTTTTTTTTTTTGAGACAGAGCTTCTCTGTGTAGCTTTGGAGCCTGTCCCCTGAGTGCTGGGATTAAAGGCGTGAGCCACCATTGCCTGGTTCTATTTTTTTTTTGTAATTTTACTTTGTAAGTTTTTAATAGATAATGTATTCACATTATCCACAATATAGAAAATGTATATACTAGAAGCTTGCTCTCACCATGCTGTTTAACTCAATGAGTAACTACTCTTGAATCTTATTAATTCTTACAATAACATTTGATATACAAACAACTCAGTATAAAAACATTTTCTCTTAGCCACCTTTTCCACACAGATACACCTCATCCTGTACTTTTAAATTTTAACTATAAGGAACCAACTTCCGATCCTTCTAGATCAACACACCAAAGACGCCCATTTTTAGTGTGAATGGATATAATACATAAAACCAGCTAATGGACACCTGGTTTACGTCCTGTCTTTATTAATAGATGATGTTGCAATGAATGATTAGGCTTTTCATGTTGGTGTAATTGTATTTGTGGATGTTTCTATGAACGGAATTGTTATATATAAACAAGGCGCACACATTTGTGATTTTGGAAGCCATTGCTTCATTTTTCTCCCCAGACAATATGTCTGCTTCCACCCTCGCTATCACTTTTGGTAACCAGCTGGGGGTTGAAACCAGTGGCTTGCTGCTCTGGAAGCCATCCTAATGGCTGGGCCTTGGGGAATTAGCATTGCCTGCTCTGCAGAGGTCGTCCAACTCTGGATAGACACATACATTGCCCAGGGAGAGCATTGCTCAGGCCCTCGGTCCCCGTGACCTTTGTTTTATGCCCTTGGAAGCTATCAGTGAGGGCGGACCCCCAGGTCTCTGGCTGTATGTTAGGAGCTCCATAGCAATCTGTGGTGAGGAAAACCGGCAGAGGCAGCAGCCACTTGGTGGACAGAAGTCCTAATAGCGAGAGGTTTGTCCCTCCTGGCGAACAGGAGCTGTGGTCCCATGAACATCAAGACTGTGTGCTTGAACATATGTTTACATGGCATAGCAGGAAGAAAGCAGGGAGGGCTTGTGTGACTGTGGCCTTCTACTTGTCTAAGACCACGTGTGGTGGCTTACTGGGAAAGATTCAGCATGTCTGACCTGGCTGCTGGCTCCATTGCATCTCCAACTATGCTTTCTTTCTCCTAGCATTCTGTTCTGTCTACTCCACCTATCTAAATCCTGCCCTATCAAAAAGCCAAGGCAGTTTCTTTATTAACCAATGAGAGCAACAGATAGATGACCCTCCTCCATCAGCCATGGGTGTGTGGTGGGGGGAAATGCCACCTTCCCCCACCTACCCAAGAAGAGGCAAGTCATCCATTTTATAGTTGGGAGGGAATACCCTTTACTTCTGGAAATAAATATAAAATGGAAGGAAGATGGATTTTCTTGGGTTATCCAGCCTGAATCGTTGCAAGAAGACCTCTCTTGTGGGGGTGCAGCCACCTGGACCTCCACCTTCTCATCACCACTCATACACTGTCCCCAGGCACCTACCTGTCTTGTGTAGTTTCATTAGGCATATTGATAAGGAATGGACCAGGACTTGGTCCTTGCCCCTGGGTAGGCAATCCCCCAGCCTCACAAAAGGAGTGGGTTTTTTATTTTGTTCTGTCAAAGGAGTCCCATTGTCTTGGTAGGCATCTTTGGGAAGGGTGGTTTTGTCTATGATAGGGAAGGGAAATAAAGTATCTCTAGGAGTCATCAAGGGTGATGTACCTGAAGAGACCTGTTGGGGGTAGTTTGAATGGAATTGGCCCCTATAAGCTCAGAGGGAATGACATTATTAGGAGGTGTAGCTTTGTTAGAGTAGCTGTGGCCTTCTTGGAGGAAGCATATCACTATAGAGGTGGGCTCTGAGGTGTCATATATGCTCAAGCCCCACCCAGTGTCTCAGATCGCTTCCTGTTGCCTGCAGGATCAAGGTGTAGCTCCTTCTCCACTCAGCTCCTTCTCCAGCACCATGTCTGCCGACATGCCAACATGTCCCACCATGATGATAATGGACTAAACCTTTGAGATGTAAGGGAGCCACTTCAATTAAATGTTTTCCTTATAAGAGTTGCCATGGCCAAGCCAAAAAAAAAAAAAGATGGCACTAACAAGACACATATCCTGCCTCTCTTCCACTCAAGGTTGTCCCCACTGTCTCCATGAAAGATTGCTTCATGGCTGCGCTGCAAGCTATTGGCAGCAGAAGGCAGTGCGGTTAGTATTTTCCTTGTATAAACAGCGCTGTTCAGATTTACTGAGGGACTTGTGCAGGGTCAGAAAAAAATGGGGTGACAGAACTGGGAAGGAAAGCCAATTCTCGAAGGTCTGAGCCAAGGGTCTCTTTCTTCTTACTCTATGGGCAGGGACTTGGGAATGTGTGGAGGGTTAGGGAGATGGAGGAAGAAGACAGGGTACATAAGAAGGATAGCCTCTGCTTCCTGTGGTTTCGTTGCTCCCTGGTCCCTTGAAGCAGGCGAAAGGGCAGATTCGGTAGAGAAGTGGGGGCATCGAGAGTGGGAGGATGAGGAGCTTGGGTCGAAGCTCAGGGGTAGAGCTTTAGTCAGGGGTTTGCAAAGCCTGGGTTCAGGCACCAGCATCCCAAGACAACACAACAAACGGAAACAAACCAAACACAAAGACTGAGAAATGGAAGGGTAGATGCTGACTTGAGGCAAATTGGAGAGGACTAGGCTTCCTCAGAGGATCAAGGGTGGCCTTGTCATAGGGGCAGTCTCTCTGTTAGACCACATGAGTGGTCCTGGAAGGGGGGCAGATAGG